AAACCAAAAATTTATTGCAGATTCGGGGTCCTCTCGCCGAGCACAGTACGGCCTCGCCCTCAAAAAAAAATATAAAAAAATTCTAGGCTGTTTTTTGGCCCGCCCGGTTTGCCCGGGCGACCTGCCCGGGCAGGCCCGGCCGGGCGGCGTCCGTACTCAGCTTTATTTTTTATTTAAAATTTGGTAAAGAAGTTCGATGTGACCCAGAGCCAAAAGTTGTTTAGTGCCAACGGACTGTGATAGTCCTCTGGATACCCCTGATCGGTATTTGCGGGGTCTATGACCAACACGGGTGTGAGTTTTAGCGTGAGTGGGTTGTGTGTGGTGTGTGGGAGAGTGTTGGCCATAGCCTGTGCTGCTACTCGATGAGGGGTCGGGCACGATGAGAAAGGGAGGCGCAGCTACTGGCAGAATGCTCGGTCTTTGCATTAGCCGAACCCCCACCGGCGGCCCCACCCCATCTCTGACTACCGCTGTTGGGGCCGGGGGCAACATGAATTACCTCGTTTGCGAGGCCCTATGCTTGCAGGGGTCCCCTCTATATAGTCTTAGGAGTAGTGGTAGGAAGGTAGTGAAAGGCGAAAAAAGAATTTGAGAGAAGAACATAGTTGTTACAATCCTGGTCATTCCCAAAGTGCAAATTCACAATGAAAGACAACGCCACCCAATTGCGAAAGAAATGAAAGCACTTGCAAAGAGATAGAGACCAGAGGAGAGAGAAAGAAGAAGAAGAAGAAGAAGAAGAAGAAGAAGAAGAAGATGTACACCAGCAAGACCAATGACAATTCCCCCTTCTCTCTCCACCGTCCTCCTCCTGCTCACTTCGCCAATCTTATTCTTCTCCCAATAATAATAATAACAATGAGTGGATGAACCAGAATCAATATCCGAAGTTCCCTCTTACTGCTGACTCAACAACAACAACAACAACAAGTCCACCATAGCTATGGATTCCCTCCTTCACGCGTAGACTTCTTCGGTGCCATCGTCACTTACCTAGATGCAGGCACAGAGCTACAGCAGCAGATCAAGGCTGCGTACACTGAAGATCCCGTTTACAGCAAGCTAATAAAAAGGGTGCAGACTACGCCACACGAAGTCCCGGACTACAGAGTAACCAACGGACCACTGTTCGAAAAACAGACAGGTTCGACAGACTGTCCATCCCGAACAACGAGGCAGTCAAAAGTCTGATCCTGGAAGAGTGCCACGACACTGAGGGCCATTTCGGTTGGAGGAAAACCTATGCTAATCTCCTCCGGTCCTACACCTGGGTCGGCATGAAGCACGACTGCATTGCCTATATCCAGGGCTGTCAAGTGTGTCAATGGAACAAAAGTTCCACACAGTCCCCACTTGGCCTATTGAGGCCGCTACCTGTCCCATTCGGTGCCGGTGAATCTGTGTCGATCGACTTCATGGACACGAAGGTTCAAAGCAAAAACGGGAGAGTCAAGCAATGGTTGTTGTAGATAGATTTAGTAAATTTTGCCATTTTCATTCTGCTGCCTGCTGAGGCAAAGACAGGTTAGCGGTTAGAGAATTCTTCAATCACTGAGTTAAGGATTACGGACACCCGTTAACGATTGTTAGTGATAGAGATAGCAGAGTCACGGGCGCGCACTGGCAACAGTTGATGAAAGTCTATGGGTCAAAGCTGACCATGTCTTCCGGTCGACACCAGGAGACATTGGGCCAGACCAAGCAGATGAACAAACTGCTCCAGCAAGTGCTACGCATGTACATTTGGCCCGACCAGGTTGACTGGGACGAACATCTTCCCAAAGTGCAGTCTGCATACAACAACTCGGTGCACTTGTCCACTGCACGCACCGAGGTTGAATCCCAACGCCCGATTGACTGCTTGAATCCCTATCAGATTCAAAGAGGTTGGCAACCCCGACGCCCGATTGACTGCTTGAATCCCTATCAGATTCAAAGACTGGCACCCGGTACAAGGGAGTTTGCCATTCAATATGAGAAGGATCTAGAGCAGGTCAAAAGGAACATCCTTGAGGCCCAGCACCAGATGGTAGAACAAGGTAACGAACATCGACGACCATCTCAGTTCGCAGTAGGTGACTTGGTATGGGTCAAGTCTAAGGAGTTCGTTCCTGAAGAAGGGATCTTGCAGAAACTGTTACCTGCATATAGGAGACCATGGCAAGTCTTAGATGTCAAAGGTGAAGCCGATGGTCCGTCCTACGCGATCGAGATTCCACCCCACCTGCACACGTACCCTGTATTCCACGCATCTAAGTTGCTCCCCTGTATTACAAATGACCAGTTTCCCTCCCGACGTTCCATGATTCCACCAGATATGGACGGAGGTTATGATGTAGACCAAATAGTGGCCGAAGATACTTTCCGCACAGGTCGCAGACGAAGGCCACAGCGGCAATATAAGGTCAGATTTGCCTACCAGGAGCCCAGCAAAGACCGCTGGCTCCCCAGGGAAGAACTAATACAGACGGCCCCTCACATTTTCTCTTTCTATGAGAGGGCCCCGAGAGGTACGAACGTGTATGATAGATAAAGTTGAGATTTTCTCGGAGGACCTCAAAATTAGGGCCCACGGGAGTGAAAGAATTCATGCTGCAGACACCCAGTTCCGGTCCCAGGGTCCCAACAAGTCCCAAGTCCCAAGGCCGTCCTGTAGGGTAGGCCATAGGGACTAGAGGCCGAAGCGTCGTAGGTCGGTAGGAGTCCGTCCGATACCCGACAAGAAAAGTCCAGAAGCGTCTAGTCCAGTCCGACAGTCCCAAGTCCAATTTTGCTGCATTCCCCGGAAAGTCCGGAAGCTACCGGACCGGCAAAATGTTTGCAGACTGGCCGCAGCCGGCCGGTAACGGTTTGAAGCAAGCCAAGCCAAGCCAAGCCCTATATTTAGCTGCTACAGGCCGCGGCTGGCCGGTACCGGTCTGAAGAAGGCCAAGCCAAGCCCTATATTTAGCTGCGACAGTGCAGCGCCTCATCACTTGTTCAGTTGCGAGATGCGGAAGCGCTGCTGCTGCTTGTGCGTTAAGGCAACTTGGGCACTGTGCCTGAAGAAGAAGAGGGCGCTGGAGGGATACTCCATAGCTAGGCTAGACGTAGAGCAGGAGGACGGCGGCCATAGCCGCCGAGGTGCGAGCAACCTGAGTGTGTGTATCCAGGGTAACGATCCAGGGTAGAGAGAGAGAGAGAGAGAGAGAGAGAGAGAGAGAGAGAGAGAGAGAGAGGCAGAGTGAGTCAAGTCAGAGAGCGAGAGAGAAAGGAGAAGCCATAGCCGCTACCTGGTTGAGACCTGTTGTGTGTGCGTGTGTGGCAGAGCCGCTGGAGACAAACATTCTTGTATATTGATAATAATATTGGAGACAACATCTTCAAGTGTTGATTGTACTCGATTTGGCTTCTCACGTGCGAACTCTCATGTGAATGTTTGTTGATGTATGCGAAGTTGAACTTGACGAGTACTTGGCTCATGTCAAAAGTGTGTATTGAGTGTAAGGGACACTGGACCCGTTTTCCGGTTTCCAGTAATTATAATAAAAAGAGTTTAAACTTTAAAGAGAGTTAAAAAAAGAAAAGAAAAGCAAGGAGGTCGGAAGTATGATGAGGACGAAGATGAAGAACAGGAGGTTGGGAAGAAGAAGACGGGGAAGCGGTAGAGAGAAAGAAACACACCTTTTCTGGTTTCCATCCACCATCAGGAACACATCGGAGAAGCACAGGCTTCCGAATATCCGCTGTATAAACATGAACTCCCTGCCCCGAAACTGCAACCTGATGCAAGCGCAGCACGGGTTTTGATACCATGCTGGCCTTCTCGTATACCTTGAACTCTGCTCTCAACGGAAGGAGGTTCTCAATTATCAGAGGAGGACGGACAATCAACTGCCAATCATTCACGGCTGAGACCGAATCACTCGGGAGCGGAGATACACTGCTCTCCATGCACAACCACATGGACTCTTCCATTGAGGGCCTCGGTGAGGAGCTGCTCCTCATAGGTACACATACAAGTAGCTCCTGTGTCGTTGTCAGATGACTCAACATGAAGAGCGAGGCTGTCACCTTTTCCTGAAAGGATTCCCTCTTGTCAGACTCCTCATCACTGCTTCGGGGGTATGATGTATCTCCTGCCAACCTGGCTCTCCCCCAATTCCACAAAACGCCATCCATGGTGGGCACATGTGGTCTTACTTGAACACAAAAGTCTGAGTCTGGTTCCATAGCCTGCCATGGAAATACCATCCGACCTCCTGGCTGGAGGACCCCCAATAATCGTCGACCCATGGCTGACGCATCCAACTCCCGAACACGCTTGCGCACTCTCCTCATCCTTCGCACCAAATCCAGTGGCCCTCTTGTCCGTGACCTTGGAGACGGCGGTGGCCATGGCATATTGCCGAAATCCTTTCCATAGTACCATCCATCTTTATCAACATATGCCTGCTTGTCAATCTGCCAATCACTAGACCATTTCCATCCACGTGGCAGCGGTATTTGGAGCATAGTCTGCAACACCAATACGGGTTCACAGGTCAAAAATTGCTCACCTGAAGATTAGCAATCTATGGAGCATGAAGAATACCAAAGCTCTGAGAATCGTGACCCTGGACACTCACCACATTTCTGAAAACGACACCCAGCAATGTGAGCAAGAATGAAACTGAATGGGTCCTGAACAGAAGAAAGGAAGTTAAAAGGAAATCCCATAAAAATTCCCTTCTCGCAGTGTTCCTACACTCTGAAAATAGGTAACTGTATCGCTCACCGTCCTCTTGATCTTTTCCTGCTTGTTGCGGCATCATCGCTTATCCTGACCTTCAATTCCAGCATGCACTGGAACCACACCCTCTATGTGAAACCAAGCCATGGAAGATTTTGCTGCACGCAAGTCACTGAGAGGGGGGGGGGGAATCGACGGCAAAACCAATTTCAAAACCGACGCTGAATAAAACAAATGCTAACATCCTTTCTATTACATACGACACAGCTGACGATCAGGCATTTGTCCCCTGCCTGGTTCACGCCACCCCATGAATCACACTCCTACTGCACCCGGAGCAACGACAGCTGTGCCTCTAGCTCTTCCACTTCGTTTTTCCAATTCCGAAATTGCCGACTTCGACGCCAGCCCGTTTAGGGGTAAATAAAGAGTAAGAATCGATCGTCTGAGTATCGATTCTTCAGCGTATTTTACGGTTCATGCCTTTTGCCCATTAGTTTTTATTTATGCAAAAAAGAACCATGGCAATAGCATGGAAAGTCGGTGGATTGTATGTAGAAAAGAAAATCAAAATTTTCAATGAACGCGAGCACCTTCATAGACCCCGTAACAACTGACTCGAAACAAAAAAGCGAGATTGATTTCATGCTAATACGCCAGTACTCACCTAGTTTATTTTTTCGATCGAGGATCTAGTTAGGTCTGAATTGCATTTTCCAGAAGTTGTCCGAACAGGCACAGGTTAGTCCAGTTCGAACAACTGTCCCAAATTTTGGCCCGGCTTGTCTGGTTATGGCTGAGCCGGTGTCCATCTTTTCTGCCAGGCCCGTTTTCTGTCCAGGTCCTGTTCCTGAGACAGCACGGGGGGCCCTGGACTTGGGTAGGAGCCCAGGCCACACGTTTTCAGGTCTGGGCCACTTCCAGATCCTTGGCCAGTCGGACAGCCCAGATGCAACCCCGGGTTGGATGGTGGTCAGTAGTGAGCCGCCAGGCTGTGACGTAGAGCAACCAGCAGTAAAAGAGGTAGGGGAGCCCAGAGTTGGAGGAGATAGAGGAGCGCTGTGTAGAGGTAAGAGAGACTGGAGGTGCGGTGGAGGAGTCCACTCAGCTGTACGTGTTTTCCAAAGATCCCCAAATTCTCTCCTCATTCCAACCACAAATCATCTCAAACCATCCATAAAACAAATAGGAACTACATAAGAAGATGCAAGGTTGCCCACATTTGTGTGGTTAAGCGGCAAGTGCCTACACACCCGTCTGCCGCCACTTGCACAAATATATTATACTCTATAAGGGGGTCAAGGGCATAAGGCAAAGCACTGACAGTTATACTATCCATCTCAAACAACTCACTCATGTCACCGGATCTCCATCACTCTGCAGCTAGACAACTTCCCTTTCACTTTGTTCTCTGGGCCCAGGAGTGAGTGTGTGTGTGTGTGTGTGTGTGTGTGTGTGTGTGTGTGTGTGTGTGTGTG